CTCATAATACACAAGATTTCAATACAAGTTATTTCGTATCAGTTGAAATATATTTTTTTCATCATATCAGTTAGAAAAAGTAAAAATTTCAGTAGAAATATATTGGATTAAATGTGTTAAATAAGTTTTATTAATCGTGTCTGAAATGGGTTAAATGTGTAAGTGGATTGTAATTAATTGTTGCAAAATTGGGTGAGAGAAAAAAAGGAATACCTATATATTATAGATGTGGGCAAACTGTTGTGATGAGGACGTCAAGAACAACAAAAAACTAGGCAGGATCTTTCACGCATGCCCTCATTGTTTATAAGTAAGTTAGAAGAAACCATTTGAAATCATTATTGTAAAAATACAAAATTTAGTTGTATTAACGAAAATTTGCTAATGTTGCAGAATAAACATTATCATGTATTCGAATGGACTGATGAATTAAGGGTATAAGATGTTGAAGACATGATACAAAATATGGATAACTATGAAGGAGGTGTGGTGACACTAAAGAAGGGTTTATAACTAATGAATTTGAGACTGACAATCAAGAAATGGAGACATGTATTTGCGAATAAGTTGTAAACAGTTTAAGAAAGAACTTCGTGAGTATATATGATGGAGGTTTGTAACTTGAAAAATATGTTGGTTTGTGCATTGGTAATGAGTTTAGTTTACTTGTTCTTATACTAATTATGCTTAGATATTTGTGACTAAAAGAGTAATGTTAGTAGTTGTGATTGAAATGTAATATTTGGTTATGAATATTGACTTGGATCTTGAATGTACCAGTACAAGAGTTATTTGGTTATGAATATTGACTTGAATCTTGAATGTACCAGTACAAGAGTTATTTGGTTAAGAATATTGACTGATATGTAGTATTTCTGATAAACCAAATCCTTGAATTTGACCTCAACCTTGAATCTGACCTCAATCTGAGATGTACGAAAAAATAATTTAGATTGAAAAAAAAGATATAACTATTATAAAACAGAACAAACATCCAAACAAGTAGACTAAAATAAGAGGTGTTTCCACGGAAATAAAAAAAAACATCAGAGAGAAGAGAGAAAATATATACTATGTCAAAATTATATATCACATATCTGGTGTAACACATTTTAAACTATATACAATGCTTTTTTCTTTAACATCACTACATGCAATGTTGATATTCACCCAATGCATCATTCATTGAAAAAGTGTGAAGATTTGCTATTATGAATATTAATATATTATAAGAAAGTGGAGGTGATATCATTAATTAAAATGCTTTACGGGTTAGTTCGTGTTGTAAGTTCTTCTAATATTAGTTTTACACATTTTTAAAGATACAAAATTTGAGAGATATCAAGAACCTACAAGATTTATGTTCAATTTGTTTTCACTTTTAATACTTTACTAGATGATTGATCCGCACCGAGTGCGGGTATAAAAATATTTTAGAAAAAACTTAATTTTCGTATTATACAACTCATTATTTATTAAAAAAAAGGTATACATAATTGTATTTTGCATATAACCGAAGAATGAAGAAAATTTTAAAAACTCACTTGAAATTTTCAGTTTTAATTTGTAAAGATTCTTGCTTCATCGGAACCACAATTTCAATAGATGTCGAAGGTTATTTGAATTTTTGGAAACGAAGCCATAAGCAAAGAGAATTTTGTGTTTTCCATGAATTCAAATTTTAGCCAAAACATGATTGCTTCAAATATATATGATTGAAAGGTATTTAAATATTTAGATATTGGCCAATTATATGTACTTAAATTTCCAATTTTTTAATCAAGATTTAGGAAAAACATAATTTATGATTTAGACCTTTGATATCGTCTTGTAGAGCCTTTTCTCTGTGGCTTCTTCATCAATGTTTAATATTATAAACTCCAAACTGAAATC